CCCTTGGGGGGGGGGTGATTTCTTGCTTTCTCTCTGTCATTCTGGCGAGCGATCATGCCCTATAGCGAAGAGTGTGTATTTCCTCTTTTAGCTCTTACAAGAATTTTCTCACCTCCTGGAACTCATCAACTCCTTTCTCCTGCCTCTTCTGCAGTTCATTGTCTCTCTTCTCTTCCACCTCTTAGCTTTGTCATTATGAATATTCTAGAAGACTTATTAGACATTTCCATGAGTTTCATTGTACTGTCTGAGGATGAAGAGGTGTTATTCTTTTCCCTTGGAGGAGGGGTATTATCTTGCTTTTCCATATTTCTTGTGATCCTGCGGTGACTTCTAGTCATCTGATAGATGTGTGTTTCTTCCTAATTCTTGAAGTTCAATCTGAGCATTTGGAGGCGAGCAGAAGGTGATCTGCAATCTTTCTTCTGTTTCGTTTTCACTCTTTGTGAATCACATTCAAGGTGAAGAGAGGAATATTCTGACCCTAATCATATTCAGATGTTTGGAAACACTTCACTTGGACCTGTCTAGATATTTAGTGCATAGAGGCCACTGGAAATGAGTCTGGAGGGGATAATCTCAGCCGAAAAATCTTCATTTTGGTCAAGAAAACCAATATTTCACAGCTGAAGTACAGTATCCATCTCTGGAAAGATTCTATGTCTAGACTCGATATGACTGTTAGAATAAAAATAAAATATCCCAACAGTTTTCTAGTGTTTAAATCTTAAGGGGAGCTAGAGAAGTTTCTTTCATTTAGTACACAACTTTAGAAGGAGCTTTCCAACAAATCTGCTACTGATGAAAGCACCATATCTTCTGTATTTTTAAATTCTTGAGTCTTCTGGCAGCAATAGTTTCTGCAAGATTAGGATAACAGTAAACAAATACTATTTTATTCAAATCAGTTCTCACATCTAAAAATTAAGGGAGTTGGCTTATTTATTCCTAGCTTATTTCTTTATATTTAATGGTTTCTCCAGCCCTTATGCATGGTTCTTTGGAATTATCAAGCATGTATACTTAGGTTAGCCATCTTCTACCCTCCTCTTCTGCGTTTTTATAAACCACTGATAGATTCGCTAGCATGACAGAATTAATGTAAAAAGCAATGAATTTTCTGTTGCCATATTTTCTTTTTTGAAGTGTTCTTTTTCCTCGCTACTAATTAGAGCATACTTAGACTTAGTGAAGTTGAGATTTTACCTTCTTTTCATAAAATAATTTTAAAATTTTGTTTGCTAGATGGCTCTGAAATGTGCTGATATTTGTAACCCTTGTCGGACCTGGGAATTAAGCAAGCAGTGGAGTGAAAAAGTAACAGAGGAATTCTTTCATCAAGGCAAGTTACAGTAGTGAATGATAATTAATATTCAGCTCACTTTTTAGCAACATAAGAATACAGCAAGAACTCAATTATTTATAGGATGCATCAGCAGGTGTTTTGTAGTTTTTGTTTTTTTGAGTGTTTTTTTTTTTTTTTGAGAGATTTTTGCTATAGGTTGTATGCACTCCACTTACCAGAGGGACAGAGAGAGAGAGAGAGAGACAGAGAGAAAGAAATCAACCCTTGGGGAGTTGACCACTCCACAATCCCTTTTCCTTCATTGTCCTGGGAATTCCCGCACACGTGCCTGGTGTGAATTTTAAGCCACCCGGTCTGGGATCGAAACTGCATCTGATCACATGGGAGTCTAGTGACATAACTGATATGCCATCTGCTGCCCCATAGTACTTATTTTCATGACACTTCACAGTAGATGTGTATATAATCAATAGTGTGCCAATTTAGCATCTCTTGAAAATTACTTGTTCTCTTGGAATGATGGATATGTGTATCTGTACATTTTACATTAGATCAGGCTGGAAATTTTACTGTATAGTAAGGTATAGTAAATTGCGCTTTCTCCATCCTCATCCTGTGTGGAAGGCATGTAGGATGGTTTTCATGATGTAAAGCCAAGATCCAAAGAGCTTCCATTTCCTTCGCTTTTCTTTTTTAAAATCTAAGTTGTAAATTAAAATACCAACAGAATTATAGTGTTGGGGAAACACCCAGTAAAAGTTTTCTACTTCCTCCATTTGAATAAAGATACCAGTGTGGCAACTTTTTCTATGCATGAATCACTTAGAATTTAAAAGAGAACATAGTAAGAAGCCATCCTCTCATGAAGATTAAGTATCATTTTTCCTGAGGAATTTAAAGATCTAATTAACACTTAAATTATGTATCTAATCCGTAGGTGTGATTTAAGGAGCTAATGAACACTTAAATTATATATCTAATCTGTAGGTGTGTTCCATATTAATAATTGTGTCTTTCTTTTTCATTTATAGGAGACATTGAAAAAAAGTATCATTTGGGTGTGAGTCCCCTCTGTGATCGTCAGACTGAGTCCATTGCCAACATCCAGATTGGTAACTATACCTCTTCAGATATAGCTGGTTAAGATGCTACTGATTTTACTTTTGTCAAGAAGAGAAAGATATTAGATACATAAAATTAAAATTGTGCTTGTTTTTTGTTTTTCCCTTGTTGGGGTTCTTAATACTTTTGCAGAATAGGCAGTAGTAACTTTGTTTCTGTTCTGAAACTGAAAGAATACATGATTTGCTAATTTCTTCTTTTGTATTTGTATTTGTAATACATTTTATATGGACATTTTCACATAATTCTGGGACCACCATTTGAAAATGAAAAAGGTGACCCACTGAAGAGAACCATAATGTGAAGACCAGTTCCATCGCTGCTTTCTTTTCTCTGTTACTTCTGTTGATTAGCCAAACCTAACTCCCCAACCTCCCACATTGGCCTCTTGTTGTTTGGCCTTGATTTGTCTCTTCACATCGCCCCCACACCCTGTTATTTACCTGCAGCAACCTGGCACGTTTCCGTGTCCCCAGATCCATGATGCTCCTTCATTCTGTGCCTTAGCAGTTCCTCCTGCCTACTCAGTAGACTTATTTTCCTTGAAGACCCCAACTCAAATGCCACCTTCTCGAGAAGCTGTCTTCCTCTCTCTGTAGGCATTCGGTCACTCCTTTTCCAGACTCCCTTGATAAATCTTTCCCATCCTTGCCTTGCCTTTGGTTATGTGTTCCTACAGCCTCCACCTGCACCTGGACAGGAAGCACTTGGGAATGATCTAGTGGGTGAACTAGTCACTGTAACGGAGAGCATGATGTGCAGCCTGGTAGAAAAGAGCACAGAAGGGTCCCATAAGATTGAGCATTTTGGGGTTTGGGTGTACAGTACCGGGGAAACGGGCAGAGACAACTCAACAAGGTACTGAGGGAGGAGTGTACTTGTGGTAGCTGGTATTGAGTAAGGCCTTTGAGGATTAGGTTGAACATAGTGGAATGTGTCCCCAGACTTTAGAAGGATGAGGCTTTCTGGAATTCAGAAGATAACACAATACTGTGGCATGATACTGACTGAGAATTTCTTGTACGAAATGCTTGGCACCAGAAGTATTTCATATTTGGGGTTTCCTTGGATTTTGGAATGTTTGTATAACTGTAATGAAATATCTTATGGATGGGACCCAAAGCTAAATAAATCCATTTATGTTCCATATACATGTAGCTTAAGGTAATTTTATACAATGCTTTTGTATTGCATCATTTTGACTGTGACCTATCACATGAAATCAGGTGTGGAATTTCCACTTGTCATATTGGTGTTTAAAAAGTTTCAGATTTTGGACTAAATAAAAATAAATAAATAATTTTTTTTTTTTGAAAAAAGGACCAGCAGGTGGTGTGGTGATTAAGGTGCCGTATACTCCCACATGGCCTACCATGGTTCGAGTCCCAGACCTGGTGGCTTGCTTTCTCACTTTCCTTCTCTCTCTCTCTGTATCTCTCTCTAGTCAAATTAAATGAATTAACAAATAAAATTAAATAAATAGTTATTTTAAAAAGTTTCAGATTTTGGAGCATTTTAGATTTCAGATTTTTGAATTAGGGGTGCTCTCTATCTGTACTCTGAAAAGAAGTGCAGGGCCAGAAGTTCAGAAATGTAATTACTGTTATCACTGCAAAGGGTCCTCACATGGAATAAAGTGGGAGTTAGCTGATTTGGCGCAGAGGGATAGTGGAGACCGTGAAGATAAGTATGCAGATGAGCATGGCAGAGGCTGTGGACAGGGGCAGGGGCAGGGATGCCGAACCTCTGAGGCTGCTAAGATTGACTGGGAAGACTGAGCTTATCAGAAGGGATGTTTTTCTTTTGGAAGAATGGCAAGACAGTTAAGAAGTCTGCCTGCCTTTTCTTAATTCTTAAGTATAATAATGTTCAAATGCAAAAGAATGGATGAAAAAATGGGCAAAAGAAAATTAGATTGAATAGGAGTAAATGGTTTGTAAACATACTCCTGTTTCTTTAAATAAATGTCTTTTTGCCAGAGGAAAGTAATCCCTTGTTTAATGAGAATTTGGAAATGAAATTTTTAAAAAATTGTGATTTTTTTTATAAGGGAACAGAAGTTAGGTCCTTTAAACTGTTCATACCAAACTATAGGTCCTATCTGTGTTGGGCAGTTCTAGAGTGGGTCGTCAGAGAGACAGGGATGAGGTGAATGATGATGGTTGCCATCTACTGAATCCTCTCAATGGCCCTGGGAGGCAAGTACTGAGTACCCCCTTTTCAGAGCTTGCCCAATTTACATAGTTAGCAGTCGGCGTTCAGCTTCAAATCCAGGCATTTACAATATCGAATCCCAGCCTCTTAACTAGTACACAGAGCAGGGATTACTACTACCAGCACAGGGTACAAGTCAGTAAGTACAAGTCATGTTTTTGCTCTTATGCCAGAGGGCGCATGGGCAGGAGCAGAGATCCTCCTTACCCCACAACAGGGCCTGCTCACACTAGAATCCCTTTTCCTCCCATTCTCCATCCCATCATAATTGTGGTTGCACACATGCATGCAGCTGGTGTGTTGATCAAGCCTTGGGGCCAGGACGTGAACACTGGCCACCATGTGGGATTCAGCTTCCTCTGTGCAGTGTTTAATAGCTGTGCTATGGGGCTGACCCTCAAGTTATGTTTAGTTAATACATTTTCCTTCTTTATAGGAATATTAGTTTCTTTGACTAAGAAGATACTATGTACCAGATAAGAGCAAGGCATTTGGCAAGGCACAGCCTAGGAGATCTGTGAGGATACAGTGGAGGCCTGAGGGGTAGTGCCACATCCGTCAGGGAACAGCCATTGCTCAAGGTTCTGATTAATGGAATCCGGCCCTTTGAAAAGGGCCCAGGCCTATTCATTTTCATCAGGTACTTTAAGTCTTTTAAGTTAGCATCCAGACAGAAGTAATAGCTAGTTTGCTGGCTGTTGGAGGCAGTGTCCCCAAGGATTTCAGACAGTAGGCACAAATAAGGTGTGTCAAAGCTGTGATTATTAGGCTCTGCACTTAGGCATAGAACTGCAGCTGCTCCCGACTTCACTGTGGCAGGCAAGAAGGACAGGCTTCAGGTGGCCGGCTCAGAATCACAGTGGTGTGAGGCAGCTGCCCAAAGCTGCGATGTCCATGGACTGCAGTCATGGCGTTTCTCTGTGTGTTCTCTCTCCTTTCAGAAGGTCAGCTCCTTGAAGGCAGGGATCTTGGCTGCTTTATTTGCTGTTATTTTATTCCAGCAACCTGAGAGTAGGGCCTGGCACATAGCAGGCTCTAGTTAGTATGTGTGGGGAGAATGAACTGACGGAAGCCATATTGCATATATAATTACTATTTTAGAAAATTATGTGTACTTAAAAAAATTAGCCATCAAACCATTTTTTTTTTTTTGGAGAGGTTTTCACTATAGGGCGGGTGCGCTCGCCAGACAGAGAGAGTCAGAATCACAGTGGTGTGAGGCAGCTGCCCAAAGCTGCGATGTCCATGGACTGCAGTCATGGCGTTTCTCTGTGTGTTCTCTCTCCTTTCAGAAGGTCAGCTCCTTGAAGGCACGGATCTTGGCTGCTTTATTTGCTGTTATTTTATTCCAGCAACCTGAGAGTAGGGCCTGGCACATAGCAGGCTCTAGTTAGTATGTGTGGGGAGAATGAACTGACGGAAGCCATATTGCATATATAATTACTATTTTAGAAAATTATGTGTACTTAAAAAAATTAGCCATCAAACCATTTTTTTTTTTTGGAGAGGTTTTCACTATAGGGCGCGTGCGCTCGCCAGACAGAGAGAGACATAGAGACAGAAAGCGAGAAATCACTCCCCAGGGGGCATGGTCACGCCGCAATCCCTTCTCCTCCATTCTCCTCTCGGGATCTTGGGCACGCACGCACACGCGCGCAGCGTGAGTTTTAAACCACTGGGTCCGGGACGCGAACCGCGTTCGACTACATGGGAGTCCAGCAACATAGCCATTACGCTAACTGCTGGTTCCCAGCCTTCAAACCGTTTTTGAGTTTCCTAATTAAAATAGTGAATGCTAATTACTTTAATTCCAGTGAAATTTTTATGTTGGCTAAAGGGAATCTTTAGTGTTAACTGTGGATCACAGTTTGCTATAAACAGAAAGTATTCAATATGAAGAAAATGTAAGAACTGTTTCAAGGGTAATGATAGAAGTTAAACGTCTATCATGTAAATATCTGTATTTTCCCCATCCTTAACAGATCAAACTTTCAGGAAGATGTTACTTGTTCCCACCATATAATATGATTGGCATGTTGGGCGTTCCCTCCGAGGCTGCTCAGACCCTGTGTAAGATATTGTTTAGTATTAAACCACATAGGGTGGTGGAGTGCTGTATAGCCCAACGGCACAGTCCTGCAATTGCTCACTTTCCTGTTCTGTGAATTGAGATCAGTCATATCAGTTGTTTATAAAATAAGACCCTGCTACATGTTTGGTACTCATTGTAATAATTTTGAACTGATCTGTTATTTCCAGATTGATTAATTCATGTCATGAATTTTTTTTTTTTTCTATTCTGAGTTAAAGTAGCCAGTGGAATCATGATCAGATGTGGTGATTTCCTTCCCTGAGGGGATAGGATGGTGTCCAGCTCCACTTCAGTTCTGGCCACATCGTCTACATTCCTGGACGAGACCTATTCCTGCTCCCCAGTTGTGGCATGGGAACTTTCCCTTGAATTGCTATGCCCCAGTATCCTCAGAGACTGGTTATGGCCGCTGCGTGTTTGCTTATGGAGAAGGATGAGGTTGTGCAACTGAGAGGGATGCATTTACTTCAGGTGCCATTGAGTTACTTAAGGAAGTGATTCTTGGCTGGCCCAGTAGCCTAGTGGTTAAGCGAGCCAGACCCCACATAGCTGACAGTGGCTCAAATCCTGGCCCAGGAGCTTGACAAAAACACTGGTGGGTACTGTGTATATGTCCAAGATCCCAACTAGAAGGAGAAATGGAGTAGAAAGGATTCTGGCATGTCCATACCCCAGTGAGGGGTGCTTTCTCCCTCTCCTTCTCTATCTCTGTATCTGGTCTAATCATGTGCCCTGTGGCTATCTAAAATTTAAAATAAAAAAAAAGGAATCGATTCTTCAGAGAAGACATTTGAATTATACTCAAATGCACACACTAGAATCTTTGGAAAAATAAGACTTAGGTAATAATGGAATAAAATTTATAAGAAGCTTAACCTTGCATGATGATTTAAAGATAGTTTTAGAATATGTGGTAATAACTTTTTTCTCTTATTTTCTCAAGGTTTTATGACTTACCTAGTGGAGCCTTTATTTACAGAATGGGCCAGGTTTTCTAACACAAGGCTATCCCAGACAATGCTTGGACACGTGGGGCTGAATAAAGCCAGCTGGAAGGGACTGCAGAGAGAACAGTCCAGCAGTGAGGACGCCGATGCTGCATTCGAGTTGAACTCACAGTTATTACCTCAGGAACATCGGTTACCATAACCCCCAGACCAGTGGACAGACTGCCTCCTGGAGGTTTTTAGAAATGTGAAATGGGGTCTTGAGGTGAGAGAACTTAACTCTTGACTGCCAAGGTTTCCAAATGAACGATGCCAGCATTATTTATTTCCAAGATCTCCGCTGGATCATTTGAACCCACTTTTTAATTATTAGACCTGAACATACAGCAATATGCGTTTGGCTTTTGTGTGAAACCTTGAATATGCAAAGCCCAGCAGGAGAGAATCAGACAGGAGCAACAGAAGGAGGTTTTAAGGTGTGCCACGTGTTTTTCAGAGCATTTATTCTTCAGACTTTGAAACTTGAACTGGATCCTTTAGCAGCAATTTCTTGGAATATGACCAGTTTGATGCAACGTGTGTCTGTACCTTCCACTAAGTTCTCTCTGAGAAAACAGAAATGTGAAGTGCCCAGCCTCTGCTGCCTCTGGCAAGACTCCAATGTTTACAAATCAACTCTGAAAATACTGGTTCTAACTTGCCTTGGAGCATGACTGTGAAGGAACCACTAAACACATTTAAAGATCAAACCTTAGACTGCAGCTCTTTCTCCCTGGTTTGCCTTTTTTCTTCTGTGGATGCCACCAAAGCCTCCCGTTTGCTATGGTTTTATTTCGTGCACTGGAAACTGAGCAGTTAACATACAGTACCGCCGAGCTTTCACTCCAGCGCTGTTTGGCAATGCAATTTTTTTTGTTTTAACTATTAGTTTTTAATTTGGGGGCGGGAGGGGAAGAACACCAATGTCCTAGCTGTATTATGATTCTGCAGTGAAGACATTGCATGTTGTTTTCACTACTGTACACTTGACCTGCACATGCAAGAAACAAGGTGGAATGTTTAAAACACCATAATCAGCTCAGGGTATTTGCCAATCCGAAATAAAGTGGGATGGGGAAGTGCGTCCTTCAGATCAAGGGTACTAAGTCCCTTTCGCTGCAGTGAGTGAGCGCTGTGTTGTGTGTGGATGTATGAGTGTGTTTGCGTGCATGTTTGTGCATGTATGACTGTGCATGTGTCATGTTTTCCATGTGGGAAAGGATGTGAAATGTAAACTCTTATTTATTACTTTAGAATGTGATGTAACGGGCAGCCACACGTGGGAGGGGAAGGTAGGTACGCTGTAACAGACGGCTCCAGTTGCCTTAAACTATGCACAAAGCTAAGTGACCAAACTTCTTGTTTTGATTTGAAAAAGTGCATTGTTTTCTTGTCCCTCCCTTTGATGAAACGTTACCCTTTGATGGGCCTTTTGATGTGAACAGATGTTTTCTAGGACATTTAAGGACTAATTTTAAACTCAAAACATTCCACTTTTGTAATTTGTTTTAAATTGTTTTATGTATAGTAAGCACAACTGTAATCTAGTTTTAAGAGAAACCGGTGCTTTCTTTTAGTTCATTTGTATTTCCCTTGTTACTGTAAAAGACTGTTTATTAATTATGTTTACAGTTTGTTGCAACAGCCATTTTCTTGGGAGAAAGCTTGAGTGTAAAGCCATTTGTAAACGGCTTTGCCATACTCATTTTAATATGTGCCTGTTGCTGTTAACTTTTGATGAATAAAAACCTATCTTTTCACATTTTTACCTTTGATATTTACCTTACAACTCAGTCATTTGTAAATCACAACACTCAAGGGGGGCGAGAAGTCAGCTTCTTGACTCATACACTCGCTCGTCAGAGATCTGTGCATCCAGAGCAGACCCAATGGCAGGGTCACCTACTCTCATCTGCACTTAACTGGTGAGCAGGCTGAGGCTGGGTTAGCAGCTTGCTCAAACTCACCTTAAATACACTGTGGAGATCAACTTTGAGCCAGGTTTCTTGCCTCCAAAAGCCTTTGGTTTCAACACTTGGGAATTGCATAGGACCATCATCTCTTCCTATTACTAAAATACTTGCTGTATTTATGTCTGTCATTGGCCTTTTTAAAGTCGTAAGAAATAGCCATAGTCTACTCGACTGATGCCGGTGTAAGAAAGGTATCACTGGGCCTCTCCAGGTTCAGTTCATTAGAAGGGACACAGTGCAAACTTTTAAATCAAACATATGGTCACTACTTGTATAGAAGACTTGATACCAAAAAAAAACCCCAGAAAAGCCACACATGTAAGTAATTTTAAGTTTTCTAAAGTAGCCACATTGAAAGAAACAAATGGAACTAATTTTCATAATATTTTATTATTTTAATATATTCAAAAATATTTCAGTATTTTAACTTGTAGTCAATATAAAAAAAGATATGGGGCCAGCAGGTGGCATTAGAGGTGAAGACACTGGATCCCACATGGCTGACTGCACTATTCAAGTCCCAGACCTCGTGGCTTGAAAAAAACACTGGGCACATGTGCGTACGTGCCCCAAATCCCTAGAGGAGAATGGAGAAGGGATAGTGGCACAACCATCCTCCCAGGCAGATTATTTCTCATTTTACTCTTTTTCTCTCTGGCAAGTGCACATGCCCTATAGCATAAAACTGAAGAAAACACATACACACACATACAGCGAGAGGGAGGAGCTTTACATCCTATTTTTGTACTAACACATTTCAAGTACCCAATATCCACATGTAGCCAGTAGCTTCCATGTTGGACAGTATGGGTATAGAGTTTTAGGGTAGCAGAGTTGTTAAATGGGGAAGGTCAACTCGCTACTTATGAGAGGTGGCATCATCTTGGGAATCTGATGTGTCCAGAATCTGATAAGAATCTTCACAACAGACTCTGTCAACAAAGAAAGTGGGTCTACCTCATGTCAGACACACAAACCAAGCTCACAGTGCCTGATCTTTTTTTTTTTTTTTTTTGGAGAGATTTTTACTACAGGGCGCGTGCGCTCGCCAGACAGAGAGAGACATTAGAGACAGAAAGCGAGAAATCACCCCCCCAGGGGGGATGGTCATGCTGCAATCCCTTCTCCTCCATTCTCCTCTCGGGATCTTGGGCACACACGCACACGCGCCCGGCGTGAATTTTAAGCCACCGGGTCCAGTACACGAACCGCGGTCGACTACGTGGGAGTCCAGCGACATAGCCATTACGCTAACTGCTGGTTCCCACAGTGCCTGATCTTGAAAACAATATCAGTGTTTTGGGACCAGCAGTTAGTATAATGGCTATGTCGCTGAACTCCCATGTAGCCGACCGCAGTTCGAGTCCTGGACCTGGTGGCTTAAACTCACAGTGGGCGTGTGTGCATGCGTGCCCAAGATCCCGAGAGGAGAATGGAGAAGGGATTGCAGCATGGCCATCCCCCCTGGGGGGTGATTTCTCGCTTTCTGTCTCTCTGTCTCTCTGGCAAGTGCACACACCCTATAGCAAAAACCTCTCAAAAAAAAACAAAACAAAACAAAACAGTACTAGTGTTTTAAATTATAGTGAGAACTATAAACTTATCTCTCTTATAGGCAGATCTTCTTGGAAGCCAAATTATGACCACTTGGTTACTTGGTGAGCACAGATCCTGAGGAAGGTAAGCAAGCTGCCTCATGTACCCATCTCCCTGTGGGGATATACCTGCTGATACTCAAATTTGTGGACCAGCGTACCCTCTTTCCTTGGGTGATGCTAGAGTCTCCCTGCCACTAGCTGCTTCTCTACATCAGCTTCTGACTGGGACGGCCAAGATCCATATCTCTTTCCAACAGTTTCAGTTGAGCCTGCCTAGGCTCCATCGTGTGTATGATTGTTTACTTCTGATCACTGTTATAGTTTAACACTTAGAAGGGTTATCTTATTCTCATTCTCAGGGGGACATACAGATATAGCTCCTACTTCCTGCCTACACATAGAATAAACTCACTGAAAAGCTATTTTTGTGTGTGTATACAATCTATTGCTTTTTTAAGCTCTGCTTCTTTAAATACAATCTGTATTACTTAAGCATAGATTTTTCTACGAAAATTTGAGCAAACAGCTAACAGAAGATTGTATTTCTTAGGAAATAAATATTAGGGAACAATTAAAATTCATATCCATTTTCAAGATAAAATAGACAATTTCAAAGAATTGCTGAGCATGCAGCAACTCTTAGGGGCTCTTAGCCCAACACTTCTCTGAGAGGAAGAGTCTCTAGGGATAAAGATCCTTGGAGTTAAAATTTTGACAATCCCAGCTTAATGAGACTCTCCCCTGCCCCGCCTTTATTTATTTATTTATTTATTTTTTGATTCCTGGTCAACATCTGTACTCATTGTAAATGTGATGGTTTATGATGATTCTCTTTGTACAAAGGAAGTAAAAACTATTTTATGTTCTCTGCAAACCTTGCCACCATATTTGTATCTGAGGGACGGTTAGAGTTACTGAAGGTAATTCCTTTAAGATTCTGGGAACCAGCAGTTAGCATAATGGTTGTGTCACCGGACTCCCACGTAGTTGACCGCGGTTCGCGTCCTGGACCCGGTGGCTTAAAACTCACGCCGGGCGCGTGTGCGTGCATGCCCAAGATCCCGAGAGGAGAATGGAGGAGAGGGGATTGCGGTGTAACCATCCCCTCTGGGGGGTGATTTCTTGCTTTCTGTCTCTATGTCTCTCTCTGTCTGTCTGGCGAGCGCATGTGCCCTATAGCAAAAACCTCTCCAAAAAAAAAAAAAAAAAGATTCTGAAAATAGGTCTCTTTCCAAATTGCTCTTTTGGCTTTTATTAAGCTTGCTATCATCTTGAAGCTTTCACATCAGAGGTTTCCCATGTTTTAATGTGTAAGTAGTATAAATCTTCCCCAATCTGTCTTTTGACTGGGAAAATCCACAGTGACCATGTGAACTCAGCATTGTTTTTGATGAACCGGGTATTCTTGTCCCCACAGCATTAGCACACACATGGATTGTATCAATGAGGATTTGCAAGACAGCCTGCAGCCATTCTTGCTAAGGACCTACTTGCAGATGACCTGTGTCTACAGGGAATGAGCTGACAGCAGACATGCCATGGGTCTCCACGTTCCTGCTTCCTGTGCTCAGTATTACATATGTTGAGCAAAGTAATTTGGAATGTCCCTTTCTAGCATCGCCATAATCACTAGAACTTATACTGAAACATCTATGATAAAGTCACATGGTAACAGCGTGTTAGTTCCTCGTGTGTGTAGGGCACATCACTGGATGCAGTAGAGGGGCGTTAACAATTATAAACCATGGTCTCTACTCGAAATGTTTGGATGACAGAATAATATATGCAGAGTGTTATATAATATGGCAGGTTTCCATACTGTACAATATCACTAAAGTGCCGGGATGTTTAGAAAAGTGAATGGTTGGTGTTGGTTACTGATGAAAATGACACTGTTTCTAGTCATTGTGGGTTTTTCTTTTTTTTTTTAAGATATCTATGTATCTATGACTAGTAAAATTGCTTAGTGTTTAAAATTGATTCTAAAATTAATTTTAAGTGTTCAATATGATACTTTCAGTAAAATAGTTTTATCAATTGTATTTTTTAGTTTTTATACTTAAGTTTTATACTTAACTTTCTAAGTTGTTCTGAAACCCATCTTAAAGTCTTAGGTGGGCCAGCCAGCCAGTGACTTGGTGGTTAAGGTGGCTGGATCCCACATGGCCAGTCTCACAGTTCAGAGTCCCAGACACTAAGGCTTGAAAAACATGCAGAGGGGCATTTGCCCAAAATCCCAAAAGGAATAAGAAATGGAGAAGGGACTGTGGCGTGACCACTCCCCACGAGGTGTGTGTTCATTCTCTGTGTCTCTCTCCAACAAGCACATGTGCTCTTTGGCAAAATACAAAAACAAAACAACAAAAATATACATATTATATAAAACATCTCAAAAGTCTGGGGCCAGCTGAGTGGTGTGGTGGTTAAGGCAGCAGGATTCCACATGGCCAACTGTGGGGTTCAAGTCCTAGACCCAGTGGCTTGAAAAATCAAAACAAAACAAAACAAAAACAAAAACAAAACACTGGGCATATGTGTGTACATGACCATAAAGTCTGGTAGGATGATGGGGAAAGCAGAGATATTCCTTTTATGCTACTGGATGCATGCACTTGCCAGGGAGAATCAGAGAAGAGAAAGTGAGAAATCAACCCCCAGGGAAGATGGCCACATGGCATAGTCCCTTGTCCTCTCCTCTTGGGATTTTGGGCACACATGCACATGTGCCTGGTATGATTTTCAAGCCATTGGGGTTGGGACTCAAAATGTGCAGTCAGCCACGTGAGATCTCGTGCTTTGCCACAGGGCACATGTGCTTGCTGGAGATAGACGGGAAGGAAATCATTCCCTGGGGGGAGGACGGGAATGATCATACTGCAATCCCTTCTCTTCCATTCTCCCCTTGAGATTTTGGGCATGAATGCACATGCACCCTGTTTGGTTTTCAAGCCTCCAGGTCTGGGACTCGAACCACAGAGTTGGCCATATGAGATCCAGCACCTGTTTTTTTTAGGAATTATTATTTATTTATTTTAAATTGACCAGAGAGGGACGGGTGTGGAACGGGGGGTGAAAAAAGCAAGGTACCAGGTCTGGGGCTTGAATTGCAGTCAGCCATGTGGGAGTCCAGTGCCCTTTACCACAATGTTACCTGCCGGCCCATTGTTAAAATAATTCTGTCTGTATTGACAAAGATTCTCTGCTTGACCAAAATTTAATCAAGCTTCCCAAACTTTACCAAGGTCTGTTGGTTTTCTATGAAATCACGGTAGGTGGATTTGAGCAAAATCCCTCAACCCTAAATTACGTAATGTAATTTGCTATCTACTGACCTCCACCCTGTTACATGGTGCTAAGTTCACACTTGACTATTCTATATTCAGAGTTGAGTTCATTCTCTCTCACACACTATCTCATTGTCCCAGTCCCTGTACATGTCTCCAGGGTCTCTATTAAAATATTATTATTTACTGTGCTAAGTACCTATATTACCTAATTTTAATGCTACTTTATAATTTTGTAATTACACATATTTTAAAGGAGATTTTTGCTATAGGGTGGGCATGCTCACCAGAGAGAAAGAGACAGAGAGACAGAAAATGAGATATCATCCCCCAAGGGTAATGGTCATAGCACCATCTCTTCTCAATTCTCCTCTTGGGATTTTGCCTGCTTTTAATACTAGATTTGTTGGCTGTAATTTACAACTGAAACAGATGATTCAATTGGTGTACTGCAGCTTTATACTGGTCCTATCAAGCCTTTGTTAAGACATTCTATCTTGGGACCAGCAGTTGGCGTAATGGCTATATTGCTGGACTCCCATGTAGTCGACTGCGGTTCGAGTCCAGGACCTGGTGGCTTAAACTCAGGCCAGGCGCATGTGCGTGCATGCCCAAGATCCCGAAAGGAGAATGGAGAAGGGATTGTGGCATGGCCATGGGGGGTGGGGGTATGTGTGTGATTTCTTGTTTTCTGTCTCTCTGTATCTCTCTGCCTGACGAGTGCACATGCCCTATAGCAAAAACCTCTCAAAAAAAAAAAAAGACATTCTATCTTCTATTACACTTATGTTTAAGCTATGTGTTGATTTATATGAGAGTTTTTGAACACAGATTTGAAGTATTGTTGAGCCATGTCCCATAAAGAAGCAGGACACTGTAATGGTATCTCAAGTTTATCTTAGCTGAAACTTTATAAAAGGAAATATTATAAAGGAATATGCTTGTTTTGGTTTGCTCAGGCTGCTATACCCAAATATCATGAACTGGGTGACCTATGAACAACAGATACTATATTCTGGGGGCTGGAAGTCCAACATGGCTGGTTCTGATGAGGGGCTATCTTCTGTGTTGCAGATGGCCAGTTTCTCGTTATATCCTCACATGTGGGGAATGAGCGAGGGCTAGCTGTCTTCCTCTTTTCCTAAGACCACCACTCCCATCATGGGGGGTCTTACCCTCAGACCTACCTACCTCCCCAAAGCCCCACTTCCTATTAGCAACTTACTGAAAGTTCTAACAGTGCTGAGTTCCTAGGTGAACATGTGCAAAACATAGAACTTTTGAATTTCGACCCAAGAGTCATAAAATACGGAAGGCTTTCTCACTACAGAGCCCAGGAATTCAGATCACTTCAGGTAACTGGGAGCTTCATTCTGAGAATTTGCGTGCATGAGAATAGAGACAGTGGTGGGCTCTGAGGGAGCAGAGACTGGGGCTGGGTCTGACACAGGTCCTGTGGTATCTGCTGCTGTCTTCCACACTCCTGCTCCCCCTTCTGTCTCCTTTATCATGCAGTTTCTATTCAGGAAGGCAGCATAATGTTGGATAGTCTGTAAGAGCTTTGTCTTTCCCGCTTGACAGACCTGGGTCTCTAGGCAAGTTAATGAGTGGTTTCCTAACTTGTAAAATGTTTCTCAAAATGAAATTTCACTGACACATAGCAACTGCCGAAACAATGGTTGCTCTGAGTAATTTTCCTGATTCATTTCTTCATAATACCTTTGTACAAACTCATGGATATAGTGGTACCTCAAGACATCCATAATTGAGTTCCTGGAACTGTGCCTCACTCTCCCAAGGTTTCCTATTCAAATTCGAGAGAGAGAGACAGACAGAATATGTGACTGGAACAGTTCATCCAAGATGTGGCCTTGGTCACAGAGCAATCGCTGCACTCCAGAGGTTAAAACTGTGTACACGACCTGAGGTCAGTGTCTTCTCAACCCTTTCTGCTAACACCAGGATTTCAGAGTGACTTCCCGGCCACACTCTAGTTCTAGTCCTTTCTCACCCTTTCGGTGATAATCTGGTTTCCACAACATAATTCCAGAGAAGACGGTTTCAACTTTGATAGAAAGCATAGCTGGCCCCAGAGAAGACGGTTTCAACTTTGATAGAAAGGAGAGCTGGAATGAAGAGGAGTGGCCTTAGGCCACATTAACACAAGATTTTCTGTACTTTATGGTAGAAATCCTATTGTATACATTCTGGCTCTTCTCCCTAACTCAAAACTTTTCTAGATGAGAATAAAAAAGACTGAAAAACTACCCTGTAATAGTTGAATTGGGGCACTACTGATTTATCTTAATATTTACCCTTTTAAGAATGTCTGAATTACATCCATGTTCTACTCTAACTTCATAAGAGGAACCCAATGTGACATTTACAAGGAGCTGGAGAATCTACCAGAGAAGCCTGAGACGTTCTGGTTGTGGGAACAATAAAGGATCTAGCCCCTGTGAAGTGGACTAAGGACGTAGTTTCAGGTACAGGACTCCTGGATCCTTACTTAGCTACCCCATTTTTATTTTCCTATCCATTATCAAGGGATAGCAGTAAAACCAATGAAGAGCTAGCATACTTAAAAGGCAAGTCTAAGAAAAATCCTAAGAAATAGGTTCAACAGAGTTGCTCACAGAATACTCAATTCATGTCTAAGATGGGAAGGGGAAAGAGGATACAGGAGTGGGCCCTAAGGGTGGACGGAGGCTTGTGAGCAATGCTGCAGTGAAAATGAGCATGACAGTGATGCAGGTCATTAAAACCATTGTGTCTCCTCCTGCTTGTCAACCCCAGAGCTGACTTTGCTGGGTGAACTCCTAAAAGAGTCAACTTCTGTTTCTAAGAATCTATCCCACAGAGATGACCTATGTTTGAAGGTATGAGACTTTAGTTTCTTTCTGAAATATTTTTTTCTGGTAGTTATTACCTCATGTCATCCTCTTCCTTACTGAGACACAGATTTAGGAATTGTCAGCATAGCAAGACATACATCTAATGTGTCTGGAGAGACAACCAGAATTAAAGGCTAAATCCTACCCTTTCTGCCCCAATCTGTGCAAGCAGGTGCACAGATAACACCATTTAAAGGTGCCAGGGTTCATATACTCTAGGAGAAATCACTCTACTGGAAGTTACAGAAACTTCAGGTAAAATAACGCACCAGTAATAACTTATTTAACAATCTACTATTCATAAAATGTGTTCAGAATCATTTCATTTAATCCTCAGGAATTTAGGGGGTGGGGGATACTGAGAACCAATCCTATTTTTCAAACAGAGGGGGTGACTTGGCCAGGATCACATAAAGCTCCAAGTCCAGTGTTCTCTGACCCAGATATTTTCTCTGTTTATCTAAAATAAGTCACTGGACTAGACTGAGTTTATAATAGAAAAAAAAAAAAAGTAAGTTACTTAATTTTCTGTGATTTAACCAAAAAATGTAGAGTTTGCTTTTACTGTCTTTACTTCGGGGGTTAGAGAACCAGAAACCAAACAAGGTAGGTGTGAGAGATGATGGAAAAACAGATATTACCAATCCCATTATAGATTTCAAATCCCTGACACAGTCTCACTGTCTTGTGACTGCCCTCCTGATATGTGTGTGTGTGTGTATGTTTTTAAACAATTTTATTTATTATTATTATTTTTTTATTTGACCAGAGAGAAAGGGAAAGTGAAAAAGCAAACCAACAGGTCTGGGACTCAAACTGCAGTTGGCCATGTGGGACTCTAGTGCTTTAAACCACCATGCCCCCTGCTGGCCGCAGTCATGTTTTAATGCTGAGAAACCTTTAAAAGTGAATGAGAGGACACAGCTATTTTAAGGAATATATTTCCACTTGAAAAATGCAGAAAGGAAATTATTCTAAAGAAGCTACATGTGTAATATAAAAGAAT